CTCTACTCCCCTCGCAACAAACAACACACACACACACACACACACACACACACACACACACACACCACTGAAATATGTCTTTTCAAATGGAATTCTACTTGTTGCTGGCAAAATGTTAATTTCATTTTTGAAAACGGGTTGATTATAATAAATCTGAGCTCCAGAAAATCCAAGCACAGAGGCATGTGCTGAAAGATGCTGGCAGTTGCCTGTTTACCTGACATTGTATTTTCTTTGTTTTAGCTTTGTCTCTGACTTGTACATATGCAACTAAAGAAGCCACAAAGAAGAACAAAAAGGCTAAACTATGTAAGTAGTCTCAGCAGCATACCTAATTGCTTCAAAACAGGAATGTCCAGTGCAGAAAAAAGCCATAACTTCACTCAGGTTATCTTCTGTGAACTCCTTGGGGCTTCTGTTAGGAGCCATTAGGCACATACAACAATACACAGCCTCTTTGCATAAAACATATAGATTTCATTATGTGATGCATATATCAAGTGAACTATATCTAATACAGCATATGACGTACTACATATAAATACTGAGATACCATAGTGAAGAGCCTGGTAGAAAAGCCTAGGTAAGAGACAGACATAAATACATTGAAATACACACACACTGGAAGGTGAACCCTGTGCATCTTAACCATTGGAAGGGGACATTATATGGGGACTTCTAGCTACAATCCCAAAAGGACTTTTCTATGCATTCAGTTTTGCTGCATTGGGTGAAATGCAAGCCTGCCACTAGGTTGTATAATCTAATTGGGGATGATAAAACAGAGCTTAAGTTTATATTTATATCCCTTGTTTGCTGTGCATAGCAGTCAAACATTTTTAATGGTTTAGGGCAAGATCATAGCATTTTGCCACAGCCTTGCCTTGGATGGTGAAACAGAACCGTATTACCACAAGGGGAACACTGACAGACATTCTGCCTCAGGGATGCATACAACTCCCAGCTCTCACTTCTGCCCCTTTCCCCCATCGTATGACCACAATCTATCCCATAATGATTAGAATATTTTATATTACACTGGAGATTTCCTTTAGGGTCAGAAATGTCCATTTACTTCCTCAATCCATCTTTAGTTACAACCCTACCCTTGTCATGTATTTATTATGTTACATGCAAACACACCTCTTGTGCCCTGAAGGAATTCGCCCATATGCTCAAAGAGGGCACTATTGTGCATTACATGGTTACACAACTATTGGAATATTAAATCTAACTTTTCAGCTTTTTTGCATTCACAGATGTACCTGAGCTAGACTGCGATATCAAAGCAGGGAAGATAATCAATCCGGAATTCATTGCAAAATGTCCACCAGGATGTCAAGACATAAAATACCGTGTTTATGGCACCGACATTTATGCTTCTTTTTCCAGTGTGTGCAGTGCTGCTATTCACAGGTCAGCAGCTTTGAACTACCGAGACACTCCAGTACAGAATTATAGTTCCAGTGTAGAGGGACATTGGCTTTGGAGCTTATTAAACCCTGCCTGGTCTTCGCAGATTGGATTGCAGGCCACGATTCTTATAGAAAAGAGTATGAGGCTGGGTCTACACTACCCGCCTGAATCGGCGAGTAGAAGTCAACCTCTCGGGGATCGATTTATCGCGTCCCGTTGGGACGCGACAATCGATCCCCGAATCGACGCTCTTACTCCACCAGCGGAGGTGGGAGTAAGCGCCGTCGACGGGAAGCCACAGAGGTCGATTTTGCCGCCGTCCTTACAGCGGGGTAAGTCGGCTGCGATATGTCGAATTCAGCTACGCTATTCACGTAGCTGAATTTGCGTATCTTAAATCGACTCCCCACTGTAGTGTAGATGTAGCCTGAGAGAGACAGTATTTGATGTGATGGCGGGTCTAATGGGAGAGTGCTAGGCACCAGAACTTCTACTGAAATCATTTGTTGTGCCCAGCTCTGCCACTCGCCTGCGGGGTGACCTTGAGCAAGGCACTTCACCTCTCTGTGCCTGTTTCCCCATCTGTAAAGTAGGAATAATGACACTGTTATAGAGGGATTTGAGATCTACTGAAGAAAAGCGCTGTAAGAGCTAGATGTTAGTCATTACAGAGCGTGCTTAGCACCTTACAGGAGGGGCTCAGACTTTTCCAGATCACTCATTTATGGATAACAAATGACTGTTGTTGCACTATTTTATACCATCAGAAGTGTTCATGGTCTCACATAAATAATAATCTCACTAATAATATGTAGGCAATGTAGGTTATCATCTGTCTTGGTAGGATTCTTTTTAGTGATCCCGTTTAAACTAGAAAAGACCCTGAAAACATTCACTGAAAGCATCTGCTACAAACCAGGGGCAGATGTAGCCTCCCAAATCAATGGGTACACTCTTCTAAATTGCCAAGGGGGCTCCAATCACCTGCAGCATGACCCCCTACCCAGCACCACAACCCTAGTCCCAACCCAGTGTGGAAGGGAGGGCTGAGGGGGTAGTAGTGGGGCTGGAGAGCAAGCCCATCCCACACTCATCCTGTAGTAGTAGCTCCTGTCCCATGGGCTGGGCCTAGCTCCACAAATTGTGACCCGGCACTCAGGTTCAGCCCAGCTGCTCATGACTCCCTCTCCTGTCCCCGGTTTTCCCTCCTCACCAGGCTGGAAGAAATGTACATTTGGCTGTTTTTGCACCTTGGGGTGCAATTGAACCCATGAACCCACACTAAAGCCATCCAGGCTCCAAATATTGAGTGACATAAACATGTCACAGAAAAAACAGATTTGGTGAAAAGGTACTTTACAAACTGCCACACCAAACTGCAGGCAATTCACTGATGGAGCATAGCGTACACTGAGAGAGACACACTGTGTGGATAAAAATCCTATGCATCTCTTTATTGTACCAGCTAGCTTTTATGTATATAGACTACTGCCATCTGCTGGCTGAAGTAATAGGCGTTCAGGTGTTTGTTATTGAATTGTCAAGTGACTAGCTTACAAAAAACTAATTCTTCCCTCAAAATACTTGTGTACAATTCCCATTGACTAAAATGAGAATTGTGCATGAATACCTAAGGGCAAACTGTGTCAAAAACAATTTAATCCTAACACAACATAGTGACTGAGAATATAATTTCTCCTGTAGCTTAAGTGGTAGATGCCTGTATTTTTGGAGCAGAAGGTCTTAGTTTTCTCTAGGTGCCATTTGAGTTTGGATTTGTTGACTATTCTGATGTGTGTATGAAATCTGTGAGTTTCCTTTTCTTCTATTGCCAGCAACAACTTAAATTATTCAAAGAGAACTGTAAAGCTCTAAGTTACTTGTCACCATTTTATATATTTCATTCCACTTAGCATAGGTTGCTCTGTTTATAGTAGGAGTCACTTCTTGGTTTTCAAACTAATGCTTCAGTGTCTGCAGAAACTGAGACTTCGTACACATTAGGATTCATATAATATCATCACATGTGGTAAACACTTTGTAGCATTCAGCACACACAGAAGCTGCCATGTTTTCCACTGATTTCAGTGGTGTTTCTTTTGATTTACCCCAGGGTGAGATCAGAATCAGGCACAATCAGATACAGGTAATACCTGGTTGATTTCTTTCGAACAGGGAAAATACTAAGTTCTGCAAAATAAAGGGGGAAATTACCCTCCTATTTGTCAAAATTTATTTTAGATTCTTGGGCCCTCAATCTCGTCCTACATACATACCCATAAATCACAACTCTCAGAGTTAATGAACTTACAATGGTATAAAGGCAGTGAGATCTGACTCAAGCTCTTGAACCTTAGAAGTTTTATGTCAAATCCTGCCTGATTTAAAAATCCAGCTGAAGTCAACATGGTTGCACAAAGTAACTCAGGAAAGAGTTCAGCCCTTTTTTTCCCCTATACACGTAGGTACTTCAAGAGCCAGGGACATGTTCTGAACCGGCAATGTTGGTCAGACAACGCCATCAGACAATTTACTTCAGCCATATACTGACACTTGAGTCAGGTTAAAACACAAGAGCCCTGAGTCAGCTGTAAGTGCACAAACACTTCCTAGCCGCAGATTCTCCAAGTTGCACTGAGGACTGTTGTAACCTCAACCATGTCATTTAAAATGAGAGAGAACACCTTCCTAACTCTTGTATAGTTGAACACTTTCTAAGTTTCTCTGCCTCATTTCTGATATCATTTAACACTTCCCAACCCCCTTTTGTAGTGGTACAATTGACAACTCAGGAGGGAAAATCCTTGTTCAGAAAGTTGCTGGACAATCTGGTTACAGAGGGAGCTTCTCCAATGGAATCCGATCCTTGTCCCTACCACGCTGGAGGGAGTCCTTCATTGTTTCAGGTACTACCCTCCCTACTCCCGCGCGCAAACAAAAAAGGCAATCTACAGAGCTAATTCAGTTATTATGTTATACTATCACACTTTAAAGTGATATATACTCTATGCAAAGGAACTGGTCGGTTGAATGCATGACCAAAGCCCCATCACTCTGTTGTGTTGTTAAAAGCCTATCCAAATAAATGGTCACTCAGAGTAGACTGTATACCTTCATAATTTGATACCTCTGCTTTCTTACATGCTTTGATGTGCAGTGAAATAGATAACAATGTATCATCTGGGGCATCTGAGTTAGCACCCATTTAAACAGATGGGGCAGTTCACATCTTAGAGCTATTGTCTGCCTGAATTTGCAGAGAGCCTGAAACATCTGTTTCAGTTAAACTCACTCCATGCTTTGTAGCTTTCCTTCCTAACCATAAACAGCAAAAAACTTTTTGTTGCAGTTATTGACCACAGCAAGCAGTGCCAGGGCTCTTTATTAGAAGAAATACATATCCTAATTAAAAAAGATGACCAGTCCCATATCTCAAACCATATTCAGTGAATGCTCTACAAGTGACTGCTCTGATGAAGCAGCATCCTGTCTTAAGTGACCACATCAACATATCCTAAATGTATTAATTACAGTTCTGCTCCACCTCTAGTAAGCAGCCAATTTGTGTTGGTCCATTAAATTTTTACTTAAATCAGATGTTGTTGTCCTGAATTCCTCCCCACCCCAATACCAACACTCTACAACCAGTTACACTAACTTAGGGCTTGTCTTTGCACCCCTCTGGGCACATGCTACACTGTAAATTGTAGCATGCTCTGAAGTGTTGCGCTCTCACTGCCCCACGTAGATCCTGCTGACACGCTCTATTCTAAAAGGTTCCTAGTGCAGGTTGATGTAATCCTGTTTCAAACAACACTATGTTAACATACACTAGGAATCAGTGACAGCATGACACTTCAGAGTGCTCCACTGTTTACAGTGTGACATGTGCCCCATAGGGGTGTAAAGACAAGTCCTGAGAGTCCCAGGCCAAATTCAGAGGCAATGTGTAAATTAAGTCCCCTTAAACTCAACTCTACCAATGCATTAGAGATGTCTAAGTTCGTACAGGAGGTGCTAACTTACATGGTTTTATGTTGCTTCTGTATTGAACCTCCTGTCACACAAGTGGATGGCGGTGTGCACATTTCCACTGCTTGGCTAAGACAAGTAACCAGCTACTACTAGTTAACTACTAGTATTTCAGGCATACCTTGTGGAAAGATCAACATAGCACAAATGTATGAACAGCCATTCCCAAGAAATTCAAGTGAAGAAATATTTTTTCTTGTTAACAGCAAATAAGGGGTAGGAATATGATCAAACTGAGCTGTCATTTGGAATTTGAATGAATGTTTGTGGATGCTCTTTTTGCAGCAAACAGCCCAGGCCTGGCTCACATTTTAAGAGGATTTACTTTGGATAGTTAGGAATTTCCGGTCATGGCCGAATGGCCTCTGGTACTTGCTTTCGTCTAACAAACAGCAAATTCTAACTGAGCAGCAATTCAGGTACTACCCAGTCAACTTTGGAGTCCTCACAACAACAGCTCCTCCTAATTTTTCAGACAGCAACACCTCCTGGTTACATAAACACCATGAATAGAGGGTGCAGAAGAAAAAGTTACAAACCTATGTAACAGAGGCCTTGGCTACACTTACCCGCAAGTTCGACGGCTGGAAATCGAACTTCTGGGTTCGACTT